ATACCGTATCCTGCAGCGAATGTCAAAGGGTGTTACAGGTATTTTTTTTTCAAAAACCGTTCTTTGCACCCTAGAAAGTAATAACGAATGAAAAGGAAAAGAAGGAAACTTTGTGACCATTTGAACATCGGCCTTCCTTACATTTTCATGAAAGAGTCATTTCTGAAACCCTTCTTACCATGAACTAAATAGTGGGGTATTGATCTCCACTTTCATGCCATTAGCAATCAGTGCTTTATGTCAAAGGCAGAGTCGGCAGCCGCTGTGTGCCAAATGCAGTGAACTCTTTCCGTTTCCTTTTTATAGAGTGGTACTCATTTGTGAACGTGGGACCTCTCACTTTTGAGTTCGACGCTCTATCTACTGATTAACCCGCCTGAAGTATCCTGTTGTAAATTCCTTGCCGAAGGAATTCGTAGTTAAGACAGAGAGTGTCTTCCTCCGGAATCGAACCCGACACCGGGTACTACCACACTACGAAATTGCATGCGTTGATAGCTAAAATGCTAAGATAGCAATCTGTTTGTGGGTACCAAATTATATTCAGTTATATTTTCGACGGTTACTACCGTAGTCTAATTACTAACACGTTTCACTACCGAATCAATGATGAATTTCGCCTAGTCGTTTAGGAAAACCATATTGGGTTTGCAGTGATAAATGACTACTGTTAGAAGAATGGCAAATTCAATTTGCACAACTGGGCAACATTATTTCGTCAGATTATCCATGTCCTTGTCCAGTAATTTTTCCTCCCATCCTTTATCAAGCACTTCCTGCTTCTTTCGTTGATTTTGCCTATGAATCGTCGTCATCAATCCAGAGGGTAGAACGTAGATTCCATAAAAGATTTCATTATGCTTCTGCTGGTAATCAATACGGATGATGTCCTTCGATCCGTGCGGTTTATAGCCATGCCATAATTTTCCTAGATGCATAGAAACTCTGTTGACTCGACCACCGTTATAGTTCAGTTCCGTTCATCTTTACGTACCATTAATTTTACGTAAGTACGATTTAACCCACCAACACCCTTTAATCACATCGTATTGTTTACTTGTTTACAACACATTTACGCTGCTTGAATACAATAGTACATTACCATTCTCTCAGTTTCATTCACAACATGCAAACACAAAATGGATATCGCTCTGTAATTTTGATGCAGAGTAATAAAATAAATCGTTAGGGAAATTTGAAACTCTTTTCTGAAAAACAGGTCGATATAACGAAAGTTTCGACTCAGAAAAACGATATGAAGATTTTGATCATTCCAAAACGGACAAAAACAAGCCCCGAGTAAAATGCGCTAGGTAGGTTCTCGTCCGGTCTTGCAAAAAGCATTCAGATTACACTTTGTAGCGCTACTATGCCCTGATGTGAGTGCGAAACGAGATTCACCGAATGATGTTATTCCTTAACAAAAGATGGATGCTGATGCAGACTCGCTGATCTTTGAAGAAATCACTGCATCATAGCATGGCTACAGAAATTCATGAAATACAACCAGAGCTAATTAACGGGTTTAGAATGAACGGAGTGCTGAAATCAGTGAATCTTCTTAAATTGGTATCACAGAAGGGGAACATCCTAAGTGACTGGCGAACGACATTGTGGTCCCAGTATTCAAGAAAGGCTGCTGTTCAAATCTAAACAACTACCGTGGAATCACCCTCATATCGGTTCATGTTAAAGTATTCGTGCATGTTAGGTAGACAAACAACATCTTGAGAAAAATTTGGCTGAAGAGCAGCCAAGATTCAAGGTGGGCAGATGACGTTTGATCAAGACATTCATGAAGAGAGGCCTAATGGAAAAGAAGAGAGAATGGGATCAAAACTCTTTGCGAAATTCGCAAATTTTACCAAAGCGTGTAGAGATTCCTTGAGGAAAGTTTGTGAACAAATCAAAACTTTTTCCAGATCATTATCATAATTAAAGGATGCGCGATCTTTCGCCAAGTGCAGTGTGATCTGATGACAGATTAAAAAAATTTCTTCATACGAAGTTTGGGAGGATGCGAGGAGAATGCATTATAAGTGGAATTTCCGCTGCCGTTTGCGATGTCTTCTAATCGGATTCTCCGGACAGTAGGAAGGAGTGAAGCTGCAGGGGCAAGATTGGGCAACATCTGTGAAAACTCTGTTGCCTTGGTTTACAGATCACTTTGTAGCTGTGACATCACTGTTCTTAACCCTGAAACAGAGGTGTTCTGATCCAAGGTCTCTCGATTAGCTTAAAGAAGACAAGTGGATAGAAAGTGGTTGAACTCAGACCAACGATTGTCCGACCCTCGGCATTGAATTTGTGGAAAACATACCGGAACATCTGTATTTTGAGCGTACGTTGGCTGCTGCCGAAGGACCCGTGACAAACTAAGTTTAGAGGCGCTGTTCGCTGCCGTCAGCAGCGAGGAAACGTCCTTAAGTTCTGGAGGGACGAAGCCGTTAACAAAATGACAAAGCTGCGGATATGCAAGATTTGCTTCCTGAAAATCTTGCTCAATGGCTTCGAGTCGACAGCACTTAGCAAAGCTGAAAGCAGAGAACTGGAAGCGACAAAAGTGAAGATGCTAAGATCAATATGAGCAGTGAACTGAAACCACTTAGTGTTAAATGCTGCTGTGAGGGAGAGGTTTGAATATCGAGAGAAAAAAAGGACCGACTCGCTGCAGCAAGGCATTTAAGATGGTGGGAGGGGGGACACTGTGAACGAGCAGACTCCAGCCGGTTCGTGAACAGAATACTGAACGCAAAGCCTGAATGCAGGTCTCCTCCAGGAAGACATCCGACAAAATCGGAAGATTTCGTTGACTTGACATCATACCGAAGCCTGTAGGAGGTAAGACGAAGAACATAATACAATATAAATCGTATGAGAAAATTCAAAAACCTGTTTAATTTGGCCGTTCGACCTTGCCCATAAAATTTTCAAGACTTGGCTTAAAATTCACCTCTTTTTCTCTTCATAAGATGACATGATTTAACGATATCAATTTCTCGTTGGGCCTTGAAAAGCCGTAAGGCATTTGAATTCATCTTCTCCTGCTGAATTCCGACGATTCGCGACTGTCATGTCTGTCGTCACGAAGTGTTCTGGTTTTGGTCCCAAAGCCTGAGCGTCTGAAACTTTCGCGGCTTGTAATTGTAATGAATTCTTCACTTGATGATTCATCACCATGGACATCAATCAACTTTACGATATGATGTTCATTAGCCTCAAATTTTAACTGTCTCCATCACCCAGGCTAATTCTCAGCTGCGTCTCAGGACAGGTTAACATTATGAAAACCAGCGAATCAGTCAGTTTCGATGACCGCTTATCCTTTCGTGTCGCGAGGGAGATTTGTCAGACGGTGCTTCCAACGTATTCGATCCTGTGTCAGCGTCTGAGCTTCCTCAGAAGATGCCCATAGTCTGGAGCATTGTTCTTGGAAACACTTGCTCAGGTTACTCCTGGCCAAAAGGAAGAATCGAGTCTCCCGGTCAAGCAAGTGGTAGCTGTTTCGCTTCGTTTCCGTAGGCATTCGCAAGACTTGCCCAAACCATGGCAGTAGCTACTTCTCAATCTCGACAAGCAATTGCTGCATACCATTGCTACCTCAGATGTCTGATCTCTGAAACATGATGACCCCTGGGACTCTTCTCAGACAGTATGTTTTAGTTGCTTGTACCCGGGTCGGCATATAAGTTTTCCAGTCGTGGTTCACAAATCATGAATGCTGGTGAGCATAGGGATGAAGATCGACTTGAACACCAAGATCTTAGTTTTCAGACTGAGCTCTGCTTTGGTCACAATGGATCGGGCCAGTTTACGCAGAACGCCACTGGCTACTCCAATCCATTGGTTCATCTCCTCCTCCCATTTTCTATCATCAATAAACACGACCCCGAGGTAATTGAATTTCTTCACCTTCCCCGCTGCTTCCCGTTGTAATTTCGCATGCGAGTAACGGAAAAGTACTTGAAATTTCCTTTCAGAACAATTTGAGCGAGTCCGAATTTACGTCAGTCGGTGATTTTCTCTATTTGCTTTAAACGCAGAGAGAGGCGTTTTCAGTTCCCTGATACCCTTATGCCTTTAAGGACCATTTCAGGGTTGGCCACAGGCCTTGACACCTAGCGGAGGCAGCCTTCACTGTAATTTGCCTTGCTGTGATCCCTTTCTTGAATCGCTTCCCTGAAGGGAACAACCGATATAAAAAATGATTAATCTTCACCTTCCACCGAAAGATGTCATTTTGTCTGAATCGAAAGCAAACAACTTTTGCAATAAAATCAGTACCACCAAGCAATCGTTGGTCACATTGCCATTCAAAGCACACGTGAAGGATTGGAAATGGAGACTATCATACAAAATAGTTTTTTTGCAAACCTACGTTGTCGTTTTGTATCAATATTTTGAGTTAGACAGGCGCTGAGTGATAATGGAGAACCGTTTGAGTAACCAACATTCTCAATGGCATCGCAATATCGTCCCGTTTTAAAACAAATGGCATGATGTTAGACTCCACTACGTTCTTTGACTGTACATATGATGCCTTTATGTATTTCATTTAAGTCTATAATCAGACTATCCCTCACGTTCAATTACCTTTGTCAGAATGAGATCTACTTTTCCCCAATTTATCATTACAGTAAGTATGTCATCAGTATTTAGGCATTGCGTCTGGGACTGCAGTTAATGTTAATGTTACGTTGTCTGTTCTGCATGATGGCAAGCAGATTAGTACGATTTAAGGCACTAACTGCTGTCGCTGAGAATACTCGAATCGAAATCGTTGTGCAAGCTTTTGATGGAACCGCTCATCGTGCAGTTGCTTCATGAGGTCATACAAAGTCGTGTACCTACTAGGCGAACCACGAGAACAGCCACGACGTTAGCACCATTAACGTATGGCTTATGACAAGTCTTCGCCCTAATGCTTTGTTCCATTTCATTCTTCGGTGGTTGTCCACCCACCCCTCCCCTCCCAAACGATGTCAAATTTACGCAGAGCTTCAACCGGCGTGTGACATGTATGATTGATTGACCGTGAAGGGCATAACAATGGAGTCAAATCCTACTCGCGACGATGACGTTTGCATAATCGTGACAAATTCGACGTCATCGGTGCGTAACGTGAGCAGTCTTGGCGGCACGTTTTCGATTGTGTCCCTGAACTGCCGACCGGCCTCCCATATGGTCATTTCAAGCGGGGTTTTTAAGATGTTCGCCTGATGTGGACGCGAGTTGGTCATTGGTACGGAAAGCTTGGTCACCAGTGATAACTCGCACCTGCGCCTTTCTTTGGCTTGATTGCCTGATATGCGTAATTAATGACAGTAAGAAACGGACCGAGAGATTTTTCGATTTACTGACCGGCTCTGGCTTCTCTTCCCTGTCTTTAAGCTTTATATGCCTCTATTTCTAAATCTTCTTGAAAAAATGTAGAATATGATAAATAACGACGGAACATCGTTCTATGCCATGCTTTGCTTGGCTAAGTTTTTCGCTGTTGTGATGCAACAGAGAGACTGCTATTAATACATATTAAGAAATACTGACTGCTTTTTTAAATTAATTCAACGTTCAGTAAACGAGAGGTATGACCTCATCTGCTCTCTAACTCAAGGATTTTTGGTTTCCTAGTCCTGTTTAGAATAGGAACATGTGCTTAATGATTTTAAATTTATTTGCTACTACGATCATCGTTTTCAGCCGTTTGCTGTCTATATGTCCATCATACTTGCACCTTCTTACCTCTTTTGCAATAAGGCACCGATTACTAAATCATAGAAAAAAACCATCCCGTTTCGAATGCAAGGTTGTTCGTCTGTGTTGCATGATAACTCCTCAGCTGTCACCTGTTTTCTTCCGGTTCTCATGCGAGACTGAAGGGATTATTTGCGGCCTTATATTCAAACATGGCCAATCTTGAAGATCAGCTTGACAAAAGCCGATGCTTTCGTACTCATTAGCCTGGCCTCAGCGTGCCCGTCATCGACAAATTGGCGGACTGCAACTGTGACACGTGAAGAAGTTTCAATCTTATGGAATTATTTACGAGTGTAGCAGGAAGGGCGTGAAAATGGGTGCGTGGACCCGTCAAGAGAGTGCTAAATCAGGGAGCTACGCCTGTGTGCCAAGATGAAGAAACAGCTGAACAGCAGCACAGGACTTTCTATCTTTAAGTCTATATGTATATCACTCGTCATCTATGGTAATGAATTCTGGATAGTGATATACGTCACCACGTCCTTAGGAAGAGGATGGCCAGCTTGAACGAGGATGTAATCGTCTGAGTACGGTACTTCTTACGACGAAACTTGTAACCTGCTTTTTCGGAGTCTGAGTCAGATCCACAGAAATCGGCTCGTGGCTGCAGAAGGCACGTTATGCGACTATAGTGGCGATCTTTCAGGCCATCGAAACAGGCGGAGACGGCATAGATTTGAAACCACGTCATGCGGCGTTATTCGATCAAAACGGTAGGAGTATACTGTCATTGCCAAATTGGTAATGTGCCTTTGGAGCTTCTCTATTTGGGAGAAAACTAACAGCATTGGAGCACTAGCAAATCTGTGAACAAGAAGGTAAAGAAAAATGATCACGTTCATTCTTTTCCCTTTAGTTCTAGGAGTGTTGCTGTTTCCGAATGACGATGGAATCGTTAGCTATATGGTTGTGTGAATTAGCCCTGATTATGCATCAACGCCAGCGCTTTTGTTTAGTTTTGATCCGTTTTCTGAAACCATGTTTCTGCCATATCATAACACTGGCCTAACCGACGCGATGCATAAACCAATATTTCCGGGAAACTACTTACTGATGCTCTTTTTGCAGCTCAAGTATTGAAGAGATTGATGTTAGTGGGAAGCATGGACATTCTTCTGTTTTAATATGAATTAAATAACGAACACTGTAACCTGGACGGTTCTATATATGCTGATCTGATGCCCAAATGACGACTATGATGATGGACTATATTAATATCGTGCAAATTTTTTTATCATTGTGGACTAATATTCATCAGAGAAGAGTTGTGTCAGTGTCAGAATTATGCCTTCGGTCAGGGCGCTGACGAATACATCGGCGAGGAATGGTTCGTTGAGGCAGCTGACTTGCGTAAACAAAGAACATTTTTCTGACTCTCTAGAGTTTTACATGCCATCTCGCTGAAACAGGGGAGATGGACAGCGCGAATAAACAGCAACTTTGCTGTTATGTCAACTGACACCTGCTCATGAATCACGGATCACCACTGGATTCCGGTTCCACTAGGCAGAGCTTCTTTGCCGACCGACTGTGCCGTGACGGCCATTTCACTGTCATTGGATGGCATTGCGTGTCACTGAGGAAGAAATAACTCTTTCGGAATCTCATCGACGGAAAATGTTCGGTTTACTGACAAACCTTCATGTTTTCTACCGCAGCTAACATTGAGCCGCCTGAGTGACGACGAGAGGGTGGATTCTACATTGCCAATTTCCGGTCTGCTGCAGACAACTGCCCATGCGCTTTAGCAAAGTGGATGAGAATGGCAGATGGCAGTAACTGATGGCAAAATCTCGAAGAAGCCTTCGTTCAGCGATGGATCAAAATAGCCTGTTGCTGATTATTAGGCGTTACCGATGATGATTCCAGTACCTCAGCCACTGAGTTAAATAAAATTTCTATCTCATTAGCATAATACTGTCGTAATATCTTTAGTCCTTATAATTGCCTGACTGTCTTGCTGGTCGAAACATAGACTAAATTAATGAGGGTTTTCTCAAATATTCAGAGACGTCATCGAAAGAGGGAAAAACGATTACGTGTGTCTGCGTCAGCTGAAAACTGGCTGCCATTGATTATCTGACATTACTTGTCACATTCATAAAAAGCACTCGCTTATACCAAGCCAAAATCATCACTTTTCCAAGCTGCTGACCGCTGAGTGACCCTGGAGATTGCCTTGCATGCTGTTGACCTTCGTGCATGAGAGCAAATTGTTCTTAAATAAAAACTGTGTCTTTCAACCTGATGGATTTATCTGAGCATCTACAGTAGTAATCGGTTGATATATTAACCCTCGTAGAACAAGTTGGTGCCATTAGTTCACATGCGTCGATCAACGAGAATCCAGTTCCTGCTGAAACAAGTACCCCACCCTGTTGTTTAGTCCCAGTTTAGTGTGTAGCATGTACCGCAAAGTTCGCGCCGGAAACCAAGCCCCTGACCAGTCGATGCGTTCTAATTCGCACCGCACGCTAGATGCAATTCCGACCGAATCGTGGTCCCACCATCTGTTACATTCGACGATAACGGACGACATGACTAGAGCGTTCAGGGGACTTTTACGGAGGCGACAAAAAATCGTTCAAGCATGGACACGCTCGAGGTCGAGGAAAATTGATTTGTACAGACAGCACTGTATGCACGCACTTAGACAAGAGGGAAAATCCCAGTAGCGGCAGCTGCTTCGTCGCAACGTGTACGAAAACGAGAATCGCGTCTGAGCAGCAGCAGCAGCAGCAGATACCTTGTCGGTTACGAAAGCAGCAAGTCTACGCCCCTCGGCAGTGGTCACGGACGCTGCTCGACGTTCCGACTGGTCTCGTTTCTCTTAATGAAGCTATGCATGGTTTTGTCGTCGTGCTGGCCCCATTTCGAAATGTTAAGAAGAACGGCGATCAACCGTGCTGCGTTCGTCGAGCATCGTCGCCTGTGCGTAAAAACGTCACCGAACCGAAGGAACGTCCGAATCCTGGCCAGAACGCACAGCAGCACACAAGTAGTACCAACCTGCTTTGGAGTATATCTAAGATAATTAGATGGACACTTTTCATGTTGTCATCCTTTGCCACGTGGCACAGCTGCCGAGGCTACAGGACTCGTTCGTCCGCATGCTGAAGCGTTGAGTTTTCATATTCTTCATCGTCACAATCAGCCCTTTTGATCCACTGTTCGATCTGAAGCTCTCTCGAAACATTTTCCACAATCTTCTGTTCTCTGTGATGGAACCAGCTTCTTCGGCTTATCCTGCCATCGATCTGGAAATCGTACTACGGGTCGTTCACTCTCTCCTTAAACTCAATCTTTCTCTCAGTCTCTCTGGTGCCTCCGTGGTCGGTTCTTCTTGCAGGGTGTCTCGCTCATGACCACTCATTGCTTGACCTCCTCACTCAGTCAATGAAATCGCAGACTGTTGTTTGTGCGCTTACCCATTTTTTCGACTTCCTATTTTTTGTTGATATTTCCGACATGCATTGTTCAACTGTGTGTTACATAGTCTGTAGTGTACGAATAGCTTTCGTTCTTAGGCTCTACGTTTCGCCTCCACGGGTTAACACTGGAAGCGCACAAATTAATCGGAAATTTCCAGCGCAAACTCAGTTTTATGGGTAGGAACATTTTCAGTCTTCTAATAATGCCATTTTCCATTTCTATTCTTCTGATAATTTCTCATAATCGGTTTCCCGTTGCAGAGACACAGTTTTGCACTTTTTCCAGCTTAAGTTTGTTCACTTCACCAGCTCGTGCGGCCACGTATTTGTTACACAAGGCGTGAGTCTTCTTCAGGTTCATTTTCAACTCTATCCTCATCCTGACGTAGTTCAGCTCTTACATCCCTCTTTCATGTTCTTCTAGTGATCTTGAAAAGTTATGAGCTTCGTCCACAAACTCCGGTGGCTTCAGAAGTGCTCGTTTATATCCGGCCAATGAAAACCTCCTCTAGGGCTGCCGTGAATGCTTCAAGTGACATTACGTGTCCCCGTCGAGCACTCTTTTCGATTTGCCACTTGTTTCTGCCTAGGCAAAGTTTCACTGTCGACTGAATTCTTTCAGATCATGACGATAAGGTTTCTGTATCGTTTTTCGATTGCTCGACTCCGCAGGAACCATTATCGACCAATTCGAGGGTCTTCTCGAAATTGACAATCGGTAGACATACAGGGAGCTGAAATTAGTTATTTGTCTGAATTATTTGTTTTGCCACCTTCACATGATTCATCGTGCCAAGTCCACTTATGAATTCTGTTCATTTGCTCGCTTGCTATACGGAGTCAGGATTATGAGATATTTACCTCATCGACAGCTGGTTTCCACTTAGTTTCTTTTGATCTGTAAAGCACTGGTCCTGAACCTGCCGTTGTTCAGGAACGTGTTCTGGCTTTAGCTGATGACGAAGCAGGGTGGCTTGGCTGTCCGTTGCTTCAGACATGCAATCAAACCTGTCCAGTTTTTATCCATTGGCAAAGACGAGGATGCCGATGTCGATGCCAATGCCGATTCAGCTCAAAAAATTGCTTTCATAATTATTTTCACCACTGTCATCCGTTTGACAACATATTCCACTATATTTTGATCCGCTGCACAAAAAAAAATTCGTTCTATTAGAGTGACAACCGTTTATAGGTACTCTTAATGCGAGAATGTATGTTTCTTATAATCAGCCTCTTCTCCTACTTACAACCTTGTCCCGTTAGGTAGTTCAAATGGATAAGGAATTTATAGGTTAACATATACGTCAGTTGCCAAACAAGTAAATGATGCAGAACATGTCAGATGTAGCGTATGTCACTTAATGGCATATTATCAAGATAGTATATTTTCGTACTCTTTGCTATGGTCATCTTAAATCCCTAATTAAAACCAAAACTGTGGGGTGCCTAGGATTTATTATGCCAGCTCTTCTAAATTTTTCTTGTTTCTTTTTATAACGTATTCACAGCGTCATCGAAGCGAACTCTTCTAGTCGACGACAACTCTGTCTTTCTTCAATTGTGTGATATGCTGCTTACTATCGTTTCATCACCGTTGAGTGAATTCCGACTATTGTGGCTATTTTATTGATGAAATGTTGTTAGCAGGTGACCGCATTACCCCCTGATAAATTTTGTCTACAGATAGGCTGACTTTCCACTGGAATTTCCAACGCGCTTCAGCAACGTAGCCAAATTCCTAGATGAATGCAAATCTTTATTGCCTCTATGATTCTCGGTCCTTCATGCCTTGTTGTAAAGCTTTTTTGTAATTTTAGAATTTTATTACTGTACCTCTTAATCGTATAATTTCTACAAACCTTGCTTCATTACTTATAGTTTCATTCCATTGTTCAAAGTTGTTAACGTATTGATTTATGCAGGCAAACGCTGCGTGGTATTTGAGCAAACGCAG